TCATGCGACTGGTGTACGTGGCTTCTGTCACCTTTCTAACCGTCAGTTCTTGAGGCTTGCGAAGGACGAGCTACTTCGCATGGATGACATCGTTGATGGTCCCAGCCACGCTACCGAGCTCTGCCAAGTACTCCACGATATGTATGGATTGAAGCTTTTCGTCGAGCCTCTGGACTGTCAGAGCTTTCAAACTACGCCAGATGTCCTTGATAAGAAGACTGCCTTCAGCATCTTACCTTTCGCAATGTCGCAGGCTGCTAAGGTCGATCTCAAGGACCTACCTAAGACCGAGCTCAAAGGTACCATCGAGAAAGTACATGCTGCTCTTGGTCGGCCTAAACAGAACGAGGATATCACCTTTAACCGCAAAGTCATTTCCACTTACTTCAAATCGCCCGTCAATCCAGTGGCACTGTTTGGCTGTCTGAAAGGCGTTGGTTCGCTCGCCACGAAACACATTCCTGCTGACGAAGCTGTGGCTGCATCGAAGGGCTGGTACTACATGATGGGAAACATCGCGCTGAGCAAATTCCGATCGCAGAAACGTATGACTCAGGGACCGACAGAAGACCTTAACTACGCCCAGGCATTCTTTGTGCAGGACCTGGAGCACTCCATTGAACGGTGGGAGACCTGGTATCGGCTTGCCCAAGCCAACGACACGCAGCTCGAAGAGGCTGTATCTTGGAACGCAGACAAGATGAACAGCAATAGTGCCGAGGTGGTTAATTTCCAGCGTGCTGCAATCAATTGCTACATTATGGCTGTAGCCTGCGCTACCCGCGATGCTCACATCACGCCGATCGATCAGACCAAGATTGCACAGATGTACACCGAGTTTGGAAACCGCATGTACGCCTCATCCAGGGAACCATTTGGTATGGAAGCATTCCAGATCCGGGAAAGTGAAAAACGATTCTGCAACCTACAAACGAACGCATCCCTATACAAAGAGGTGGTATTTGCCCCACTGCATGCCTACACTGCTTGGAAATTCGCAAGCACTCTCTACAAGAGAGCCATCAAAGGCAACCCGAACAAGTGGTGGAACCACTTCATGCTTGGAAAGTGTGGTTGGAAGATGTGGGCAGCAAATGATGGCGCGACGCAATATGCCAAGTCAATAGGTGCACCACTACCCCTTCCGCGCGGTCCTTCCTGGGAGTCAGTCGTGGACGCATTCATCAGCGCCATCGAAACACTGCCAGGAAAGAAGGGGCGCAGCGGCGAGCCAGTCCTTGAGCCGCATTACAAGCTCGTTTCCGTCACACACAAATTATTCCTGCGAGGAGCCATCGACCACGAGAAAGGGGCGGAGATCCTCGCGAACACTTCCTACGCGCAGAACGTCAAAGCTCCGGAGAACAACAGCGACTGGCAACGATACGTACTCGCGGTATTGAAAGCATTACGAGCGGCCGACAAGTCAAGTTGGCACCATCGCATCATATCTCGTGTGGCCCACACTCTCTATGACAACGGCAGAGATCCAGTATCGGCCAATGAGGCTAAACATGAGCTTACGCAGCAGATGTTTACCAAGACCATGGCTGTACAGGTTTGGAAACCTGAGAATGAGCGACCCGGCCGACATTTTGTCTACACTACACGGTATACCAAGTTCTTCATTGAGCTATTGGATCTTACTGGAGACAAGACTAACTTCGAGGCGCTTGCTAAGCGTGTACGACGCAAGCAGACCGACTTTTTCGAGCACCAGAAATTGTGGCAAGACTTATGTCTACGCTACATCAAAATGCTGCGAAAGATTGGCAACGTACTTGAAGGACAAGAAGACTCTGCTTTCAAGTCTGTCAATCATGATGAGTTCAACACGCTGGCTCTTCGTTTGGAAGCGTGGTGTCAGAATCCAGAGACCCAACATCCCGTGTTGGATGTTCTCCGTGATGCCATCGAACTCAAGCGTCTAAACAACGGCATGATGAAGCCCCTTCTCATCGACGACCTGATTGGCGACGCATACGCAATGCTGTACACTTCGATTGGACCTTCGCTACCGCCATTGCAATCGGAGCAACAACCACAGCAGCCCTTGCAGCCTGCACAGCCTCGACCATCGCCTTTCGGTGTACCCGCAACAGCTTTAGGTGCTGTACCAATCTCCTCGTTGATGCAGGTTCAGGTCGATGGACCTGCTGACGGAAGTTCTGGTACGCCATTTAACATGTATCACCCCAACCAGCTTCAGCCGCAGCACCCGCCGTCAATGCCGCAAATGCCATCGCAGCCTGAGCAACCCGCAAAACCAAGAGCCAAGGCAGTGGGTCGTAGGGAGATCGCTCGTCGAGCCGAAGCATGTGTACAAAAGATCGCAGGTACAGCAACTCAGCCAACATCGATGCCAATTCGATCGCCTCCACCCAGCGAAGCAGCGCTTCCCTCCATCGTCGGACAAGCCGCCTCACCCGAAGCCGTCGCACAACCAGCCCCCGGACCAGGCACATCCACCGAACATCTACACCCTTCCTTCGACAAGAGCGGTACAGCAACCGCATCTGCCAGTATAAACAACGACGAGCCCGAACGCAGCGCACCCGCTTCCATCCACGACGACGCAGACGACGAGAGCGAGCTTAGCGAGCTAGACGAAGAAGAGGTGGAAGAGATCCATCAGGAAGTCCAGAACGATAATCTGCGTAGATCGGTATCTATTGCAGGAAAGCCTCTCTTTCCTAATCTGGCGGCTAATCGAGTTAGTCCCGAAGGAAAAAGGATCGAGGCGGCTGCTGGAGATGATGCGGCGGATGATGATGGTGATGTGATTCATGTTATGTCGAGGAAGGAGGATGGCGATGTTATCCATGTTGGTGCTAAGAAGGATGAGGATGCGATGGATGTTGATGGTGAGAAGAAGTAGGCTCTTTGTCTTTATGAACTTAGTTCAACGGGGCGTACCAGGGGGCTTGACTTCGATTGTGTACTACTATAGATCTGCAGTGTCTTGCGGAGTCATTATGGCGGGGTTGCAACGAAGGAGCCGGAGTCTGTCTGTTTCTAGATACCCATCATATAGGGCTGTATATACATCATATTTACTAGATGTTCTGCACCATCGCTGGGTTTGGGCTGGGCCTATGTTGACGATGGTATGGTAGTGTGTTGCGACTAGGCGTCGCCGACGAGCGACTCAAAACTTTCAGAATCCATTTCATCTCCATTCAACAATGTTCTCTCGAATTAGAAGTATCACGGACATACGAAACGGACGTTAGGATCTGAAGCGTAACAGTCGTAAACATGAAGCGACGTCATCTGTGAGTGTCTCCTTCCTTGACTCGACGTCGTACGTATCTGTTATTACTTGTAATTTTCTGCATCTCAGATTGGTTTTCCTACTGGTTCTGACATTGCGCTTGCACGTTTCTTTACCATATGCGATTGTGATATATCGGCTGGGCAGCAAACGTGAGCAAGCCACAGCCGTATATAGCGGAGTCCTTTTCTCTGTTCTGGTAGCGTTACTGCTCACCAAGGCATACATACTCACGCGCCAAGTCCAAAGACAAACACAAATGTCTCTACCCAGCGCTCCTGACAACAGAGCAGGTGATTCTTTCGAGAACCCACTGCTTGACCACGCGGCTCAACGCGACCTGGTCTCCGAGAAACACTATGCTCTGGATGGGGGCCACAATGAAATCATACAGACTACTCAAGCGTGCGTGGCTTCATACATTACGAAAGGGTTTGCGATCCTCAACAGCAAGGGACTCCGCGTGTTCTTGCAAGACGGTCGCATCGTCACTCAGACGCTGCACGTGTATTCCAGGGATCCAGCTGAGAACACTCTGTCGCGCCTGAACGATCCGACGTGGGAGTTTATCAGTGTGAGGACCGCTTTGGCGGAGGCGGCCTCTAATGATACGATCTATTATGGTAAGACTGTGAAATGAATGAGCGTCTTGCAGACTTGCTAATCACATAGCAAAGACGTTGACATCAAATACTTTAAGAAACGGCTTCCCGATCTCCCAGATTTAACTGCAGAGGGCATCTTTGGTAAGTTACTTTTCTTACTACATTGCATGCACATACTGATAGTTCGCGACTAGGTCCAAATTTCTTTGCGAATGATGGAATGTTTGGTACTGGTACTGCTTCTGCTTCTGAGCCTGCCGTTGCTACTTCCTAGACTGGACTTGTTCATCGGCGTGGGGTATGATGGACTGCAGTCTTGATGTATCTCCCATCACGGCTGGAGCATTGGAGTGAGAAGGTCTTTCTTTTAGATACCAATGACATATGGCTACACACAACACATGAAGACCAAGGTTTTGGTCCAGAATGAGTGACCGAGTCTATGCACATCCGCTGGGTACAATTGGTGAATGACCTGGAATCTAGGGAAGGCACATACGCTGAGGTTGATGTATACGATACATTGTGACATCACGCTCCTGCTTTTCGCCGCGTCCTTCACCTTCCACTCGGGTATCGCGCCTTCCTCGATCAGCCGTAGCCTCTTGCAGTTTGCGATAGCGATTGCCCAATTTGGAAGCACCTCGTGTTGATTTGTCCGTCACTCAGCAAACTCAAGGCTTGCGTCCACAACACACGACTTCGAGTAGCAAGCTCGAGACCCCGTTTCAGGCATATAACCCCGCCTTTCCCGCGCAGTCTCTATCAAATACCAAGGCTACAGTAGCTCCTGACCACCCCATGGACAATGCGCTCCTTCACTACGGCGAACCCGCCCTCACTTTTGCGGTGAGGGCTGGCGATGGAAGGTCACCTGAACTTTGAGTAAAGGTCAAGGTGACCTCTGAGGAGAACCGCCTTGAGTTGTATAAGTACGTGGTTTCGAGCGGGTTTATGGTTCCTTCTTTCTATACACCACTGCTACAAGAAGAGATATCAGTCTTGTACACTACGATCAATTCCTAGTAAGTTCTCTTGAAGACACTGACTATCATTTGCTTTGCTAACTACATTACAGAATCTATATACCCTATTCTCCGACTTTATAAATCGAAAACAACATGTCCGCCGCCGCTGGATCCTCTCCTCCCCCTCCCCCTAGCGGCAAGTCAACCGACAAGAACACTGGCCACGGTGCCTCTTCGTACCCCAACCTCAAGATCCCTCTATCGGGAGACGGAAGCACTCCCCAGAAGGCTGCATGGGCGAGCATCATGTTCCAGCCCCCTGGTATCACAAAGAATTATATCGTCGACGGTGTCGGACTCTTCCCACGCTACCGCCGGACCCGTGTCGATGAGGCCCGTGAATACGCACGCCTGGCATATACAATCCTCGACGGAGAGACCTACGAGGTCATCCCCGAGTCTCATATCCCTCCGGGTCCCATTGGTAACCCCTCTATGCCGGCCGCTGCGGGTATCGTAGCTCAGATGCAGGACATTGCCGCTCATGAGAACGCACTTGCGACGGGCTCGGGTGCGGCAACTGATGCTTACAACGCGCTGCAAGTTCACCGTGAGTCTGACGTATCCTCCCCGCACGATTATGGCTGACACTGTGTAGACGGCGACGCGTTTGTAGACGACAACGACAACACCGGCAACTCATCGGAAGACGCTGCTGGTAAGTCGGTTCAGTGATATAGTAGACGAAGTCGTACTAATCGTTCGTCAGAATCCTCTTCAGATACATCTGGAGATCGCTCGGCTGGTGCCTCTTCTACAGACTAAGACCTGGCTGTCAGATTTGTGCTTTCACTCCGGAGCGAGATTGCGCGCGTTGGGTAAATTCGACTGGAAAGAGTGGGCAAGTAGATGCAACGGAGTTTATCTTGTTAGTGTCACGGCGTTAGTAGATACCCCTTGGATAGAAGAGAATACCATATGAGATATAAAGTCGAACTCCGTCTTCACACTGTATTTGAACGAGATTACCGCTCGCGGAAAGACTACATGATACCTCTGGGTTTCCCCTTATCAAATCTGACCAACATGTGGCGCGCTACCAAGAGAAGATAGACGTTGTGCTATATGTCGTCACTCTATTGTACAAACCCACCAGCGCTTCGACATGTCATATATACCTACTGCGGTATCTTACTGCCCGGCTTGCTTTATCGTTGGCGTTCTCGCTTTCCGCAGGTCTTGACCGATTACTATTCTTACATGTGCATCGATCTCGTCAAATCACGCATGTGTTCCAGTAGATGTAAGGACTTCTAGAAACTTGTCTAGTGGCTAGAGATATCTCGTAAGCGTGCATCGGCGCCTCTGACATTTACCTTCTTATTATGATGAAAAGACGGCGATATGCAAAAGAGGAGCCGCACGCATCTCTATCGTAGCACTCGCGTAGCACATTCTCTTGAGTACACCCGCACACAAGGGCAAAAATATACTGCTTACTTTGCACCTCTGTAGCTGTGCTTGTGGCCCATACATAGTCAAAAGAAGAGTGTGCGTAGCCCAGCTTCACATGGCCATGGTGAGAGGAAGGGCAAAAAAGATTGTCGCAATTAATTGGCGGTACTGGGAACTGTAGACATGTTAGGAATGTCTCAGGACCACCAATGAGGGCTTGAACGTACTCGAACCCAGGCTGGCGCGGATCTGGATCGGGACACTAGGTGTCCGCCAGCCACAACGCGACGTCATACCACTAGACCATACCACGATAGGGTTGTTAGTACGGTGATGCGGGGAGTGGCTTGGAAAGCTGCTTACCCGAAGTGATTCGTTTTGATGGAGAAACGAAGAAAATCTGCATTCATAATGTTAGCAACACGCGCGCGTGCAGCTACCATCAGTCCCGCAGTCAAGCCTCCAACAAGCATGTGAATCAGAGTTCTGACAGCAAAATTTGGATGCGATGGCGGGGTCAAAGGGTCTGTGCCCTCCGCTAATGGTGGGGCTGGATTTCCTGGTCGCATCCGAGTTGCTCTTTCTTCACCCAATCACCTGGGCAGTCACACCAGCAACACACCTAAGTGCTCGAAATGTCCATAGGTATGTGATTTGAAGTACTCTACAGGCCCAGCTACGCGTTAAAAGAACGCGATCCTCCAGCTTTACCGTGAGTTCATCGATATCTAAGATAGCTGGAGCTCTACATGACGAAGGCCGCTTGGAGCTAGTACTGCATTTGGCGATTTTACCTGCATCTTCGACGAGGGTGGACACTACTAACGCTCGCATCAGAGCACTCATCACCTCGGCAGTCGCGAGGCAAGCCGCGCAAATCATATCGCGTCGAGGACGAATACTCGTTTCTCGATGAAGACGAGGATGGCTCTGCGCCCTCTGGCAAACAGACACCAGCCCTCCAAAACGACGATGATGACGACGGTGATGACTTCATGCCGGATGCCCAGGAGGAGGAGATGGGATATGAAGAAGAGGATGAGGTGGTAGAAGAGGAAGATGACTCTGCGGAAGAGCAGGACAATTCCGACGAAAGTCCTGCACCAACTCCAAAACGCAATGCACGCGATGCACGAAATGCGCGAGTACCTCAAGCCGTGCCTAATACTCCAGACGTTATTCCGAAACGACGGTACAATGACCCCCGCTACAAGGACATGGCAGACAACATACCGTCACCAGTGATATTCAAGAAAGGAGGTGGAATCAAAGTACGGGTTGTTGATACCGACGCCCAATTACGAACGCGAGGTATCCCTGATTTCGACAAGATTGGTGGTCATGAGCCGCGGCTGAAGAACTTGTTTGGTCCAGATGTACACCATCTGAGACCAGTACTCGAATCGAGGGACTATTGGTTTCCACAAGAAACATTTCCTATTCGGAGTTATAAGAAGAATAAGCCTGATGATGCTGAGGTGGGTAGCTTGAGAAGGAGCTTCTTCGAAGCGGAAGGCGCAAGGGAGAAAGAGAATGAAGTCTTGAGGACGTGGTATGCCAACACCGGAAGCCATGCTTTTGCAAAAGCGCAGACAACGAATAAATTGACCGCGGATGAGGCGAAACAGTACATGATAACTCCAGGATCGGATACCATGAACGTACTGGCTGGTCCGGTGAACACTCCCCAAGTCAACACGCTGGCAAAAGGCTCATACATGAGCATCGCAAAACCCTTTCCGGGCGACCAAGAGCGACGCGGTTGGCTGTTCAACCTTGGCTCTTGGGTGCAAGACGCTCAATGGGCGACGAACGAGGAATCCAGCACCCAATATCTTGCTGTTGCCATCGAGCAGAGACCTACCAGCGGCGACCAGCCCAAGCCACTGGAGCAGCCAAAAGCACCTGCATTCAATCCTACTGAGCCATTTCCCGCGTCGATTCAGATATGGTCGTTTGAAGCTGACGATGAAGGCGACTTGGATGCATCGAAAGAGCCGCAACTAGAGCTAGTCATCTGCACAGCCTGGGGTGCGCCAAAACATCTTAGATGGTGCCCGGTAGCTGCTACAGACACGAGTGAGGAGACGGACGACGCAAGTAGCAGGCATATAGGTATGCTTGCAGGTATCTGGTCCGATGGCCGAGTGCGCGTCTTGGATATCTCCGCACCTCCTAAAGCCAACACTCACACTCCTACGTATCTTCGTGTTTCACGTGCTGCATTCGAAGTTTCGTTTCCTCAAACAGTACCTTCGTGCTTGCACTGGCTATCGGGGCATACACTCGCGGTTGCGACTGCAGCAGGAACTGTGGGTATCTGGTCTCTCAACCGCCCAGGCACACTGAGAACACCCGACGCTGCAAATCACAACCCTAGACCCTGGTTCTATCAGCAACTAGCAGACACCTATATCCTCACAGTCTCCTCCGGATGGCCGTCCAATCCGCAGTTCCTGTCCATCAGCACCGCAGACGGTTTTGCGCGTCTCTTCGACCTGCGAAGCCCAAATGCCGACACTACTGCTTCGATACGAGGTCGCACACTTTGTTTGACGCAGGCATGGCACGAGCATACGCAATCCTTCGTCATGCCGGACGAACATTACATCCTGCGACACACGCCCATCCGTCGCTACTACCACAACCTCTACAGCATGCGATTAGAAAACAGCATCACTCGCGTTGCGACAAGCCCGGTCCACCCTGGCGTTCTCATTGGCGGAGTTGACGGAGATATCCAAGTCAGCAACCCAATCATGCGCATCACAAACTACAAGATCATGCCATGGCAGCAAAAGTGGTTTGTTCACGAGTGGCGAAGACCGATGGAGCGGTTGCCAGTCAAGCCTACGACTGGTGGAGATGTCACCATGACCGAAGATGAGCCAGCCGAGCAACCCAACAATGTTAATGAACACGAATTGCAAGCTGGCGAGCCAGCTGATGGAACCAAGAAGGTGCCGCAAGAAGTACTCTCGCAACCTCTGGTCCGCATCACCGAGGGCTACAAGGCTGGTCAAACAGGCATTGCGCACAGCACATCTGCGAATGCGACGAAGAGGGGAAACCCAGAGGTGGGCAGATCGATCAGTATCTTCGAAGAGCTGACTGCGATCACGGCGCTGGCTTGGAATCCAAATTTGAAGTTTGGCACGTGGGCTGTTGCGGGTATGGCATCGGGGTTGTTGCGTGTGGAGGATGTTGGTATCTAGGAGGGGGTAATCGAAGATGCTCCTAGTGTTAGTAGCTCATGACATGGCAAAGACTTGCTGCGGGCTACAGACCAACTTGGCGAATTCGAGACAAGTGCGCACGGAACTTGATGCAAAGTATTGTGTTACATGCTTCATGATTTCATTGGTTCGTATCATAATCTTACTACAACATCTTCTAGTTGACGGCCTTCAACTTGCACATCAAAGGGTGCTTCTCCCAAAGAATGAATGTTTTCTGGTTACTCCAATCACTGCTCTCGGGGCAGAGTTCGATATCGAAGTTGTAATAGACCTTGGAAGCAAGCAAGCGTATCTCGTGGTATGCCATACTAAGCTTACTGTTAGCTTGCTATGGTCTGTGTACGTATGCCAGAAATGAATATCGAGAGAGGGCTGTTGAACTTACTTTTTGCCAACACAATCCCTAGACCCAATAGAGAAAGGCTGAACACACTGCCTCTCATCGCTCTCAAACTCGGGATCACCCATCCATCTCTGAGGAAGGAATTCCATTGGCCTCTTGAAGTTCTTGTCCGACAGGTACATGGCGTGTTGCGGGATCATGATGATGGTGCCGGGCGGTACGTATTGACCGACAACAGTACTTCCATCTTGCGGTGTGAGGCGCGGAAGTCCAAGAGGAACTGGTGGGTAGATACGGAAAGCTTCCTTGATGCAAGCCGACAAGTAGGGCAATGCAGCGAGCTGCTCCATGGTCATGTCAGCGTCGCTGGCGAAAGCACTACGGATCTCATGGTTGAGCTTCGCCATGCAGTCCGGGTTGCGCAGGAGCAGGTACGTTAGGCCCGAAACGAGTGTAGCTGTTGTTTCCGTTCCGGCGATCATGAAGAGGGAAGCGTTTGCGTCCATCTCGCCTCGGGTCAGGCCTCGTCCTTCCTTTTGGCCCAGCACCAGATCCCATAGATCGACGCCCTCGGAATCGCGGCCTTTCTCAAGGCGCTTTGTCACGCGCGTTACAGAGTGGTTGAAGTGGTCCATCCGCTTCCGATTTACAGACTCGGGTACGTATCTCTTGAACGCACGCCATAGCCATGGATATGACATCATGACGGTGAAGTGAGATCCCATCTTGAGACTGGCAAAGATGATACGGACCCAGGGGTCGTATTCGGCGTTGTCGAGCATATGCAG